TGTGTATGTGTGTGTGTGTGTGTGTGTGTGTGTGTGTGTGTGTGTGTGTGTGTGTGTGTGTGTGTGTGTTTGTGTGCATATGCATTGAGCAAGAGCTTGCACCATTGTGAAATACTACGGCGCATATCCGAAAAAAGAAAATAACGGAAACGTGAAGTACTCGTTACTACAAAATGTCGCGGACTTGCGATGTATCGTCTGGACCGTTCGTCGATTCAAAATCCGACGTCTTAATCGAGCAGCGGGAAAATTACCTGACGAATCTGGAATACAATTTTCGCGATCACGATCCTGACCGAGATGAAGATCAAGACGCGCGATTGGCATCGTCTTTTTTTTTTCACGCCTTCTTGCTTCCTTCTTTTCTTTCAAATATCCAAGTTTTCGCGTCGATCCTCCGTACAAGCAAATGTATGTTTATCAACGTAAGTAAATCAGAGACGAGTTCTTGAACAACTCTGCCAAGTTTGCGAAACGCGTATAAATATCGCGCGCGTTCGTGCGATCACAATTTTCAACGTGAGAAAAAGAGAGAGAAAGAAGATCACGTAAACTCTTTTAACAGTGAGATGAATCAATAACTTGATGTACTTGATTTTGTTAGATAGCTTTATTACGATGTCTCTTAACGATAAAATTTACACTTAAACGTAATCAACGTGTTTGCGTCGTAAATTCTCAGTCATATACGTTAGAATAATCGTGTGTGAAATAATGCGACATAATCACAGCGTTTATAATTGTACGCATTATTGATAAATAGAAGCTTCTTTGCAACAATTATACGCGGCGATTATACGGACATTAAGAATGATTAGGGTCGCTGGTTGCACGTCTTGCGAGATTGTTCTGATCTCTCATGGTCTGCTCGATGTTTTTAGATCACTCCGAACGCGCGATCCATCCAGAAAGTACCCTCTTAACGCGCGGGGCAATATATATTTAACGGTCCATTTAACGTAATATTAATAAAGATTTCGCGCTTTAACAATTACTTAACATACGGTGAGTGACGCTATCATTATGTTAAGGGTTAAGATGAAGATGACGACGACGATGAATGCAATAATAATTATTAATAATAATTAATAAAAATTAATAATAATAATAATAATAATAATATAATATATAATATATAATATATAATATAATATTAATAATAATATGTCTTCGCGTTGTACGACCGGCCGAGCGCGAAGAAGCCAACGATAAAAGCCAAGTAGGCTAAATACGAACTTTTAAAAAAAAAAATCACCCTCCGTTAAAAAACATCCCCTCCCGCGTCGCGTACAGCAGATTCTACCGTTCGCGTCACTAACAATTTTCTTCACGATACAATCTGAAGTACGGCGACGCTGCCGATCGGCAATGGAGCTCGGCCGTACATACTGTGTGAAAAAAAAATTACACTTCATTAAATCGATATGAGATCCGTTTTGGTATGATAATCCCGGCCATTAGCTTTCTAACCTGCGACATAAATCCTTCTTTCGGTATCTCGGCAAACGTGCTGGACAGAGCTTCGTATCGGTAATCATCTCTCCCCTTCCCACCCACCCTCTCATCCCCCGTGCGGAGCGATCGTTGTGTACCGATAGGGTACTCTCTTCTGATCCCGAATAACGGGATGATCCGTTTCCACCCTCCACGGCCACACAATCGCTCGCATAATGACTGG